ATATGCTATAAACGTGATTTATAATTCTCCAGGCGGATGTATTTTTTAATTGTTTATGATTTTATTGATAATAACTGTGGAGTTATCAGAGTTATTAGCGATTACCTATGAAGTTGCGTTATAATTATCTGGTTCAGATAATTATAATGTAACTTCATGGGTAACTCCACAGTTACTATGAGCAATGCATTGATGACAAAATATCCATCATGCATTGCTTACCGTGAAGTAATCTCTGATAACCCGTGAAGTTACTATCAATAATTACACGATCATATATAATTATTATACTTTGTCCGTGGAGTAATTTATCACGGAGAGAGTGGAGAGAGTTTATTTAAACTATGATGTTACAATATAACTGTACTGTATATATTTATGATTAATATGGTATTACATTCAAGAAGGTTAAAAAGATCATTTGATTTGCTGTAAATTGAATATTTCCAAAATCTAATGTTTTGTAGAATTAATTCGCAATTCTAAAAATATGGATATTAGTTGATTAACAAAGTTGACGAAGTGGATAAATTAAACTAATATGATAAAGTGATCAATGTTGACCTATTTGATATTAGATAGATTAGTTATAATCATTATATTTGTTAATTTTATTTTATTTGTTAGAATTATTATATTTATCTCATTTATATAATTTATCGTTTTTATTATATTTGTTATATTATATTTTATAATATTTTATTTTGTATAAATATCTTGTATTTTCTCTTAAGTTAAAAAGTAACTCAAGAAAGAGTTTTAGGATAAATCAAGTGTTCAATAAAGGAATCTTATAAATTTATTTGCTATACCTTTTATCGTATCATCATATAGGCGCGATTGTGATAAAGTCTTACATATCAAATTAAAAGTTAATCATTTAAATTTACAGATACTACTAAGCCAACACCGTTCCTGTAAAGATCGCACAGCAATCTTCCCCAAACCATATACTGAAATGCATCAGAGAATTCAGTAGTGGATAGAGTTTGATTATCAGATTTTTAAATTCAAAGAGTGAAACATGTTTGTCAATTATCAGTAGAGATTTTTCGGCTTGTTAGAGCAGACAGAATGAATAAACCAGTTTGCATTTATAATCATTTCATGGTCATTAAAGTTATTATTGATTAAGTGCAAACAAAAGAGTACTGTTATCTTATAAATTATTCTTTGGAGAGTGTATCAGAACTATTTTCGAAGTTTGCAGTCATTTTAAGTTCTGGGGTTATATTTTCATATTCACCGTGTTTTCGTAGTTAATGAAGTTAACGGCAACTCATGTGTTAGTTCTCTTTTGACTTCTTTTATTAGACCATCCCACTCAAAACCGCTCGGTACTAGTGTTGTTTGACCCAAATGATGTTAGGCATGATAAGTGTAAGTATTGTTAGAAAAAGAGGAATAAAATTTGCTTGAGAAAGTAGAGAAAAATAAATTTTTTTACGTGATGAAAAAATACATCTGCCATATTATATAAAAGATTGTTTCACAAGAGATACAGTAAATCACTGCCCCTATGAATGCCCCATGATATTATTTTCATGGGGACAAGATTTTTAACGACAGTCCGTGCCGTATTAGATTGTTACGCGGAAAAAAAAAAATATTAAATAAAGAAACAAGCGCAACGCCTTACACTGGTTAAAAATCAAGGGGAAAAATTTCGGTTATTTTCAACATTTGAGTAAAATTTGACGCAGTAAAGCTTTTAAAATTTTTACTATTATATAACCACGCTCAACCTCGAAATAGTCGATGCAGAAAAAAGACAAAACAATTTATCTTCGCCACCAATCCCAATAAAGAGTTTGAGAATCTTTATTGCTTTTTCTGAGTTTAGCCTCCGTAATTTAATCCTGATCCGGAAAGTACTCATGAATTTTATCATTAAATAGACCATACGCTTTTTACAGTGATCAAACCATAACCTTTTCCGAAATAATAATGGCTATTGATCAATTCCAGAACGGTTTATTGATTATCGCTTTCAGCTATGATCCTGTCGTATAGTTCACCGCGGATAATTCCTTCTTCTGGATGCAGATGAGCTGGTAAGTATTATCGTTAGTCCGTTTTTTTACTACTAAACTCCGTCATATAAGCATCTATTTCTTCATTTGATGGGTATATAGGACACGGCCTTTGGGATTATCGATGCACTTGTAATGCACATATGCTTGCAGGTTAAATATACGAGTGGCTTTAGAGGACCTATAATAGGAAGAACCTTTCTTTATATTTGATGTTTTGATAGCGTTGCATGTGACGGTTCGTCTCATACAATTCCTAAAGCTGAGTCGGAAACTAGTTTACTAGTGTAGTGCACTGGAACATTTTACGATGATTATCAATTATTAAATCATCACAACCGATGCAGAAGTTTTGCAAGTGTATAATAACGCGGAAAACGTGATAATAAACAATTTTTCATTTTTGAATTCGCTAATTGGTTGGAACCAATAATATTTTATTTTTTTTCAGTTGTTGTCCGAAGCATGAGGACAATCAATTTCTACGTCAAAGCAATGCAATGTCGTTCTGTTTGATCAACCAATAGAATTCTGTGTTGCTGGTCATGTGCGTTTCACAAAAATTAACCATTAAAAAAAATCATTACAAGTCCTGTTATGCTTCAGACTAGAACGGCTACCGTTCCCTAGTGATATATACTATTATATTAAAAATGCTTAATCGGGTGAATATAATTGTATGTTTTGATTGTCCATTTACTATAAAAAGTATCCCAACAATAAAAATAAAAGTATCTTTATCAAAAAAAAAAAAAAAAAAAAAAAAAAAAGGAAGTCTACTGCATCGAAAAGAACATTTTTAGAAAATCATTTCTAAATAATATAGAAAAAGACAAATTTACGAATGTTAATTCAGTTCGATACATTGAAACTTTGATATTTATAAAGCATAGCATAACAAAAATAATTTTGTAATTGTATTTATTTTTATTCATAATTAAAAAAAAATAATTTCTGTAATTTTATTTTATAAAAAAAATTATAACTGTTATATGATAATTAAAATCAACGTCTTATTACAATTACAAATACTGAAACACTTTATAATTGTCATCATAAGAAATTTGAAACATTTTATAATTGTCGTCATGTAACCTAGAAATTATCCTTTCGATAACTGTCATGTTATAAATAAATTAAGAAATTTCAAATTCTAAGAAATGAAACATTTTACAAGTCGCGAAACAATAAAAATTATCACTTTCATCAACTGTCATGTGATAACTGAAATTAATAAACTTCAAAAACTAAGAAATTCTGAAACACTTTTAATTTTCGTCATGAAACCTAGATTTATATTTCCCAAAAATAAGAACTAATGTGTCGGCATACCGAACATCTAGTTCAATTATCATTTTACCGTCGGCGACTGCCGTAATTTTAATCTTATAAACTTTCATTGGTCGTTTATTGCCCAAAATTCCATTGCTTATGGTCCTGTAAGCCGCTTCTTTATATTCTAATCCTAAATGATTTCGCGAAATCTCTCCACCTTTTCGATTAAATTTACTTAATTTAATCTAAAAATTATAAAGAATTCATAAGTTTCAGAACGTTTGAAGAATAGAAGTTAGAGTTACAGTCACCCTATCTTAAATGCACCCCCTCGGGACCATAGTGAAAATTTTAAAAAATGAGCATTTAAAGAGAGGGTGTGCATTTAAAGAGGAAATTTCTATATGAATTCTATATGCTTGGGACTGAACAAGAGCGTGCATTTAGAGAGAAAATATATAGTGTGTGCATTTAGAGAGGGTTGACTGTATATGGATTTTTGGTAATTCCTACAACTGTTTTGAGAAAGAAGCTAGGGAAAAAATATAAAAAGTAGTTTACCTTATTTAAAAGCTTATGTTCGAGTTCGAAAAGGTTGTGATATCGAAATAGCATTTGTGAACAAAACTTTCCGTATACTTCATGAACTTGCTTATCGGAACAACTCCAGGCTTCAATTATTTCTGCATCAGGATCGGATGATAATGAAAGCGACGTATCACGATTCTTCGCTTTCAAGTAATGTTTTCTAAAAAGTGTTAATGGGTCTAATGTGTCATGATGGGAGTTAATTTCTGTAGGTGGAAGTTCCCACATCAAAAATTCATTATCTGGTTTTAAAATAATTATTCGATTTGTAATTGAATTTTCTAAGAAACACTGGGTTAGAGAAGACATAATATTTGAAAATATTAAGTTCGATAAGAAATATCTACTTGAGAAATTTTTGATGGGGTTAATATATGAAATTTTTACATTAAAAAAGATAAAGTGATAAAAATATATATATATATTTCAACCAAATAAGGATCCATAAATTGCATATCCTTTTTATTTCTAAAGATAAAATCGTTTGTTCATTGAGCTTAACATGCCTATTTTTGGCAACTATTCAATGGAAAAATCATAAGTAATCATTCTTGAAAGAGATAACGCAAATTGATTATTAATTGGCAATCATTTAAGAAATTCAAAATTTTACTATCATCTTAATTTTAACAAAATAAGGTCATGCCTATTTTTGGCAATTATTTAATGAAAAGTCATTCCTTGCAATAGAAGTTCTTTATAGCTTGTTTTTAACAAAAATGGTTGATAACGCAATTAATAATATTACTTGGCAATCACAAATAAGGCAATTATACAATGGAACATCAAGAGTAACCATTCTTTAATAGAAGTGTTCTAATAGCTTGTTTTTAACAAAAATGGTTCTAATAATGGGCAATCATTTAAAAATATTTCTACATCTTAATTTTAACAAAAAAGGTAATGCCTATATTTGGAAATTATTCAATGGATACAAAAGTAGTTTTCGAATCGTTTAATAATATAAATTAGCAACCACTTAAGAATTTCAAAAAATTTTCTATCGTCTAAATTTTAAAAATAAGGTTTATTTTTATTCTATATATAGACCTATATCTGTAAAAATTTTCAAAATTATTTGATAACATTTATTAGGTCATTATTATGAGTCTATCAAAAGTAAACGTATTTTTGCATAAAAAAGATCCTTCAAAAAGACTACATGTTCTCGCACTTGCTATCGACACTCATACATATTTTAATGTCAAGATTTCTTATCCAGATGAAATCGTTAAGCTTGGCAAAGAACGTAATTATAAAAGTTTAAAAAATAGTTTTATGATTTTTAAAATTGATTGTAGTGAAGCGTTCAAGATTGCAATGGAAAAAAAAAAGTTTCGTCAAAACTCTGGATCTTTTAAGGACTATGCATTTCTCTGGCAGATTTCTTCAAAAGAGGTCAAAGATGAATATGAAAATCTTTTCATTGGTTATAAAGAGTTATTGCCTAAAGCCCTTAATTTTGTTCCATGTTTTCCTCAAGAAAGGACAACAGAAGTAGTTGCACAAGATCATATCCCGACTCCTCAACCTGAAATAATTCAAAATCCTTCTTTTGGTTTGAGTCCTTACCTATCAAATACTATGGGAGAAAATGAAAATTTATTCGATTTAGGTATGATGCCAATATAATATTTTTTCTTTTGCTCGATTGTTTGCATTAATTCAAATTAGAGCTATTGTTGCATAATAGATAATGCTGCCCATCTGCTTTTTTTTGTCTTTTTAATTATTTTGGCATTTTAAAGGTTATGGACATTACGATCTTTCCAGAATTACAATTCAAACTCCCGTTCCCATCATAAATCAATTGGACTGGTATGGCTCATCTCATGATATATTGAATTGGCCACTCGTGTATACGCCAAATTTAGATGATGATGATTACCAAATAATTCAAAGTTGAATTCGTTCGTCCAATTTTATTTTTCATTTTTTGTAAACAGTCAACATTTTTTTTTAATCGGAATCAGGTGGTTCCTTCTTGAATTATTGTTTTTCCATGCAATGATATGGTCAATTTTTTTTTAATCGGGCAGGAAGAAGGAAGTCCTTCTTGAATTATTGTTTTTTTCCAGCCATGTATTGTTTGAAAGACTATTTAGGTAGAAGGTGTGCTTTGATATTAGTTGGTTACTTCTGTTTACTAACAATAAATGGCTGACGTGAACTATTTTAGAGCAAAATTTTCATTTCGTTTATCAATATTTCATTTTTTGGCTTAGCATAAATCATTTTTGTATCTTATTCCCTTAAAAAGCTTTTTTACCTTTTGTTAAATAAAAAAAAACATTCTACAAGTCTTATATCTAAGAAAATATAATGATAATGGACTCATAATTTTTTTTATATTCTTTCTCTACTGTTCTACGATTCCCCCACTCACAGTATTTTAATTTACGCATGACAATACATACAAAGAGAAAATGAATTTCCAAATAATGAGTATTAAATAAAATATGATGATTTATTTATCGTTATTATTCTAACCCTAGTAATTTTGATCAATTATCATTCATTATTAAATCTCGTATGGGAAATTTCATAGAATATATATATACAGCCCGACTTTTTTTCTAACATGCTGATTTCTTTGTAAACTTTAAAAAGGAATTCTTATTAAAGTTGTGTCTTTGCTCATCTGCATTTATGGTCAAATGATATTTGTTTAAAATAAACAAACGGACACACCAATTATAAACTTTGGATTTAATCATTGTACATTGTCCTACAAGGATCATTATGATTAACTTCACACTCATTTATTTTTTCAGAACAAATGTAAATGAGGGATAATTTAAAAAATTTCCCATACTTTTTCTCGCCAAAATTTAAAATATTCATAATAATCCCCGCAAAAACGACACTAAGGGCTAATGTAAAAGCAAGTCATCATGTTAAAAATTACCGGTTATCGGCAGTTTGGGTAGCATTTCCCTTTACCAAGAATTTGGAATATTGGAAAGTTAAAAACTATTTAAGAAAGCTTTGAGAGAGATTTATACCTTAAAAGCGATCAGTCAGCACCGTACCGAAGGCCGTTTTCCCAAATGGACGTTTTCCCGAAAACTTCGAGCAGAGTTATCATAATGTAGGTCAAACTTTTCGGGAAAACGTTCATTCGGGAAAATGGCCTTCGGGATAACATATTGTAACCTTTTTTAATTATTTTAAATAGAAATTGATTTAACATATTTTCCATCATAAAGCTTACACTAAGCCGCTTAAGTAAATCAAGTCTAACTATATAATACATCTGTGTTTAACTAATATAGTAAGCTCAATCGCTCAGAAGCTTATTTTCTCAAAAGAAAGCCTAAGCTTAAAGCTGTATTGAGCCGAACTTAAGCTGCCGGTTTAGCAATTTAACATTTCTAAATTTTAGTTTCAAAAATTAAGTTTTTATTATTGCTTAAAAATTAGATTTTCAATAACAAAGAATTAATCATCTATAATTATCCATTTAATTAAATTATTTAACCAATCTTTTGTATAGTATCAACGTTGAAAATTTGTTCTAGAAAAAAAAATGATTTACAAAGTCATTAGATTTAATTTTATATAAATCATATTAAGAAAGATCGAAATATACATTTTGGTTGATAAAAAATAATATTGATAAAAAAGGTAAGTGAATTGACTTAAAAGGAACATTGTGTTCAAATTGCCACTGATCATTGCCTTGTAATATATAAAAAAGAAAAGATTTCAAAAAATCTCGATACCATTTTTAAGAAAACATTATTACTGTTTCCTGTTACTGTATTCGTTATACTATTGATAATAACTTCACGGGTAATCAACGATTACCGTGAAGTTACAATATAATTATTCGGTCCTGATCATGATAAAATTTTATTTGCTTTTTTTTTTCTTCCCATTTTTCCCTTCTCTTTACCATTTATACATTTTTTATTATGCCAAAAGCAAAACAAAAACCATTTTGTAAAGGTATATATTATCTTTAAAGCTATTTATTTTCAAACAATTTTTAGCAATATTTAAATTTTATTTTTATTAGCCAACTTTTAAATACAATAAACCCAATATTAAAGAAATACAAACAATAGTTAGTTTTAGCCATTGTCTTTCAACTGATAAGTCTACTAACAACTGGATTATACAATTAGAAAAGTTTCAAAAAGATATAAATTTAAATGGAAAAATTGAAGAAATTGATAACGAAAAGGAACTTAAAGAACAAATCATTAAATTTATTGTAGCAATGCAAACAATTAATGGAAAAGATTATAAAACACAATCTGTCAAAGTTGGAGTTTATGCTATTGCATAACATTTATCTAAACATTCTGTAATCTTTTGAGTAAATATATTAAATCAAGAGAATTTCTATAAGTTATAGCAAGTAATTAATAGAAAATTCAAACAACTTAAAAGGCAGGGACTAGGTGAATGAAGAGCTTGCTTCTCCTTTAAGTGAAAGTGAAGTTGCTATGATTTTTAAACATCCTCAATTGAATAAATCTACACCAGAAGGGTTATTATATCATGTTTTTTTCAGAAATGCAATTTTTTTATTGCTTAGAGGAGGCGAATATTATAAATTATTAGTATCAAATTTTAAGAAAAAGAATGATTGTAGTTTTATTGTTTGCTTATATAAATTAAAAGCAAATCAGAGAAATATAAATCGATCTGAAGCATAAGCTGATATTTTGTATATTTCAAGTAATGATCTTAATATAATACAGGATTACAATGATTACTTTAAAAAAAGACCAGTTGATTCTAATTTGCAGTTTTATTTACAATCAAATTCTTTAGAATATGGTAAATATTTTATTATTCTTTTAATTTTATTAAAATCTAATTTTATTATTTTTTAATATGGCATAAAAGACTGGAATCTAATTCAAGAAATCACATATTGGACAAAATCTTCTTCATTTATATATGAATGATATATGTAAATCTACTAGTATCAATATTAAAGATCATTTTATTAGTAATCATTCAGGAAGAAAAACTGTTGTTACAATTTTAAAATCAAATGATGCTTCAGATCCAAAAGTTATAGTTTTATCAAGACACAAAACTATTAAAAGATTATCAGTATATGAACGACCTCATGAAGTTTTACAAGAAATTAGTTCAAAAAATTTAATACAAACTATTTCTAATATAACACAATCTAATAAAATTGGTAAATATAAATTATTTTATATTTTAATTTATAAATTTTTTTATAAAAATTAACCAATCTTTATAATTTATAGAATCACAAAAAGTTTACTAAGATAACCAAAATAATAATTTTGTTAAATATAACAATTCTGTATAATAAACTTCAATAAATGAAAGTAAATTTATGAAAAATAATTCCTCACTTCTGGCTTTTTTAAAAGATAATACTTTACATAATTGTTCTTTTACCCTTAATATTAATAATAATTCTTAAATCACTAATAATTTTATATAATAAATAATTATATATATCGATATTGTATTATTATTATTTAATAGCTTATAATTTATAATATAATAGATAAAGTTTAAATAAATTCATACTGTAAAAATTACTTAATAGACAAAGTATCATTATTATATATGGCTATATGATTATTTCAGTATTTCAATATACTATTTTTGTCAGTATATCATTATACTATTTCTGTATACTATTTTACTATAATATTTTAATGAAACAGAGATTCTTATATATCAAAAAAAAATATCTATTTTTTATAAAAAAATTTTTTGTTTTTAGCCTAGTTTTTAATTAAAAAATCAATTTAATAATATAATTATTTAAATTAACATGTTGTAAAAAATAAGATGTAGCTAATTAATATCTTTTTTACTAAAACAAAATATATATAAAAATAAGGCTTAATTTTTAAGAGTAAATAAAGCATAATTAACTCCTAATTTAATTAATTAAATTAAAAAAAAATAAAACAATTACTAATCTAAAACAACATAATGTTAAAAAAACAAATTCGCAATTTACCTTCACCTAAATAATCCAATTAAAATCTAATCTAAATCTAAATAAAAAAAAGAAAAAAAGATTAGTAATCTAATAAAATATAAAAAAAACCTTTATCATATATAAAATTGATCGAAAGCTAAAAAATTAAAATATTAATAAAAGAAATAAACTATATAAAAAAAATAAACAAAATAAAAAATAGAAAGAAAAAAAATAAATAAAATAAATACTTAATCACTTATTTTTGCCATAACAGACTGATCGCACAAAATTAATCAAAATCTAGAAAAAAAATATTATTAATTAAAATAAATAAAATAATGTAAATAATAAAAAAACAATCACTTATTTTACTATGATAGACTAATTGTATAGAACTGATTAAAAGCTAAAAAAAAATTTGTAATTAAAACAAATAAAATAATGTAAAAAATAAAAAAATCTTGCTTACTTTAACTATGATAGACTAATCACATTAAACTAATTACATAAAATCTAAAAAAAATATTAATAAAATAATATAAAAATAAAAAAAAAATAAACAATATAAAATAACAAAAAAATAAAATAGAAAGTAATAGAAAAAAAATAAAATAAAAAAATCTAGTTATTTACTTTTATTACAATAGACTAATTGTACAGAACTAAAGTTAAACAAAGAGAAAAAAATAACTGCTTACTTTAATCATGATAATATGATTATACTAAATTGATTATATAAAAGATAGAAAAAAATAATTTAATAAAACAATATAAAAAATAAAAAAGAGAATAGCTAATACTTAGTCTAAATTTATTTAATTTACTTTGTATTTCTTTAATATAAATTTAATAAAGTTACTAGCAATACCATATTGTAAAAAAAAAAAAAAATAAAAAAAATAATTAGTAATTTAGGACTATGCAAAAAATAAACAAAAAATAAAAAATAAAAAGACAAACTACTCATCTTT